AGAAGAAAAGTTATCACTTTCACCAGCCTTTCCATACTACTGAGTTTGATTCCCCAAAATTGAGTTATCATTAGTAAAATGTGAGTTTCTTTGACATTTGCAGAATTATCCATGTGAGCTAGGTGATGAATTTCCACTTTCACTGTAATGGATTTGTATTTCTTACCTGAAAGTCTATCTAGCCCTTGTTAGGATATTTCAAACATTAATGAATATCAACAGTTTATTTTTTCCCCCATTTAATCTTTCTTTCAAAAAGTGCATGCAAAGGAAACTGCATATAATTGAGACTATTACAGAAAATTAAGACTACATATTTAAACACAAGAAATCAAGACATACTAAAATTAATGGAGCAGATATTTGTGTTGGCTTATATTAATTCAGAATGAGGCTTAAAGTTTTCTAAATAACTGCAACTCTCTCAAAACTTCGGGTCAGCAACTGCTGTAACATAAATATGAAGCCATATACACATACACTGCATGCGACATGAAGATGATCTTAATTATCATTGTGTCTTGATTTTCTGATACACTAGGTTATTTGTCCTTAAAGCACAACTCCTTTATCAGCTTACGTCTTTTTTTGCTTTTAATTTGGGATTTAATACACTGATAGCAGCCATAAGAACACAGACTAAATCAAAAGGAGTAAGGATCCTGACCATAGGACCAAACAACCAACCTGTTGCCCCACATCTGTCTTATTATATGATATCTGAATATGAAGAACAACTGAACCCTGTCAAGCCTTATTTCAATGAAGGAAGGACTTTATATCTTGACACACAAACACTAAATCATTTTTTTAGAAGCACACATAGTTCTTGATGAGCTTTGCCGGCAGAAATACCATCTTTGGTTTACCGCAGGAGATGCAACTCAGCCAACAGATACTCTAAGGAACTATAAGGAACTTGGAAAAGATAATTCTTTTTTGGTTGATTGCCCCATTAATTCAGGTAGGAACTGTGTGCTGGAAGGACTGTCACTCTGTGTTTGGCTAGTACAGTCAGCAGAGGTACCTAGAAGTGGATGTCTAACCCCAGAAAGGTCAGCATTCCTCACCTGTGAGGTTTATATTTTTGAAATTTATGGTAAAACATATCAATCCAATGGGCCTTCCCAGCTACTCCATCTTCTACGTTCTAAGTGCCAACACTAGCGATTTTAGCAGCAGTGCAGTCAGTAACCACAGGATCATTTGCATGCTCTGGGAAGGAAGGAGGACTTAAGACAAGTGATGGCGCTGATCCCATGCCCATAGCCTAGATGTCATCATGTTTCTTGTGAAGAAAACTCTATTGCCACCAAATCGGTAAGAGCATACTTGCATTGCTGCAGCAGATCTACTCAATATCGTCCAACCAATTGGTCCAGGGAAGGTTTTAGGTCTCTATCTATAAATTAAGTCATTAGGACAAGGTGAAAAAAATCAGCCCCTACAAACCAAGACATCAAAACAAATACTGATTTTAAAAGGCTTAGCTTCAGAAACTACAAAACTTACGGCTATGCAAAGCTACAAATTACTCCTGCGAGAGGCTTGTAATCAGGACTGTAGACAAGGGAGTTCTTCTTGTGGAAATGAAAATTGTTTAAGAAAATGCAAATATCCCCAAAGTCATTTCTCTTTAACTATTCCTCAACAGAGAGCCCTCTAATTGAATTTTCTCCATTTGTGGCGATTTTTGCTTTCTCTCTCCTCCCACCATTACGGGCCTGTATTTCATCATTATCTAAACATGTGAAATCTCTCCAGTCTGCAGATTTTTTAATTTTATAGCTTCATGGAAAACATTGCTCTAAAATTGCAGTTCCAAGGCACTAGATCAGCATGTGGAATGTTTGCCCCCTGTATTAACTGAATCAAGTGGATAAAATTACCATTGTTTCAGTACCGCTTGGGTAGTAACACTGCAGAAGGTATCCCCTTCTTATATTAAACCTCACCTGGACCTTCAAGGCTGCTCTCATTTTTAAAGAGCTAATATGATGGATACTTCACAAGAATAAAGATAAAGATTAACTTTTGAAAGCATCACTTTAAATGGCTTTTATTTGAATACTGATCCAATTTATTTAACTTTATTTTTCTTCCTAAAGAGATATGATGGTGAGAATGAAATATGTAGCTAGCAGAGCCCATGTTTAAAAATTAAACACTTTGGGAAAAAAGTTAAAAATTAAACAGTTAGAAAAAAATTAATTAAAATCGTGCTGTGCCTTTACAGGGATTTTTTTTTCAAGAGTGAATAATAAAGCTCTACAATGAGCTATGAATAATCTTCTAAGTTATAATTAATTGGTACATACTTGCTCCTATTTAAAGTATGTTCTAATAATTGGAGATACACTTATAAAATTGGACCATAATTATTTATCTTCTGGGCAAATTGTGTTCTAATTTTTTAAAATATAATTGCACACAGTTTAGACAGTTCTTTGATTAAGTGACAAATTTCAATACCATTTAGGGTACTATTTGACAAAGAAAATTAATCAGAAACATTATTCTTTATTTCTGCAACTATTTAACATTTAACT